GATGAGCAATAGCGAACTTCAGCAATCAAACAGCATCATACATATGAGTCCAGATAGTCGTGATCTCGAACCAACAGCAGAATTGCATCACGAGATTCACCAAATAAGAACACACCAAGAGTTCATAATTGACAATGCTGAAATAGTCCCATCATCATCAACGAAGAACCAGAGTTGCTATCCTATCTGGCGCTCGGCGCCCAGACTACATGTGGCAGATCCTATCTAGCCTAGAGTACGATGCCGAAAGATGACGTCAACAACTTTTCCGAAGTACGAGCATATAGCGACCAATGTCGCACGCTTCCAGCACCAGGTACGTCTCTCGCCACAGTCACAACCTCGTTCCCCAACACACAGATGCCACTAGCACCCAAGGACCACCCTGCGCCTCACCCAGCTTATAGCAGCGCAGCTCGGCTATGGCTGCGTGCTCCTTCCCTGCTCGCCCGTGAGAGCGTAGGCTCCAGCCAGCAAATAGCGCAGCAGCGCTTGCGCAGCATGCAGCGAGCACCCGAATGGCGAATGCGGAGGCAGGCCCTTAGCTATATCGAAGTGGCCTGCCTGCGTCCAGGGCCAGGAAGCTTCCAGTAGGCCCCCGTAGCCTGAGACCCAGCACGACGAGAACAGGCCTTGGGCCTGAGGTGGTTGCATGTGCCCGACTGCCTTTGGCCTGTGTTTGGCCCAGTACCCGTATCCATCCCAGGGCCTGCTTCACATACATTCGGACAGGCGGCCCAGGGCCTGGGTTCGCTCAACCAACTGGCGCTGCGCAACTGCCTGAATTTCCTTGAGTTGCGTGGTGGCCAGAATAGGGGCCTGACGGCCTCGTCGAGCCTGCCTTCACTTAGGGCGGCCGACGGGCTGCAAAATGGGGCCTTATGGGGCTCATAGAGGCAGTGGCCTCACATTCCCTCCTCCTTAGCTTCAACAGTCCTTTGAGAAGCTCAGTCTTTAATCATGGGGCGCTTTCCCTTCTGCAGAGATCTCTCGTAATGGGCTACAACTTGAGGAGCGGTCTGCATGAGTTCCTCTCTGGTGAACCAGCGGTCCTCCTTCGGATCAGTGTGATGCCGGAACTGAACGTGATACTGCAGCTTCGGTTTCGGAGGACGTCCCCTGCCTGTTGGTCTTGACACAGGCAGCTCCTTGTGATCCACGATATCATCAATATCCACCTCTCCGTCCATGGTTGGGGGCAGCATTGAGCGGCGAGATGGAAACTGATGTGTTTCTTTGAACGGTGCAAGCTTGGAAGCGTGAAAGATAGGGTAAGTACGAAGATGACCAGGAATCCAGATTATGTAAGAGGGTCCATCCGGATCAGTCCCCACAATATCTAAGACTTCCCATGGTCCAAAGTACTGTGGCATGAGCTTGCGGGAGATACCGTGCTCCTGTCCCAGTTCTGAGGACTTGACCCAGACTCTATCCCCAACCTGAAATGAAGATTCATGGCGGTGTTTGTTCACAAATTCAATCATAGCCGCCTGTGCCTTTTGCATTTGTTCGACAGGCTGCTGCATCTTCTGTTCATAACGATAAGCAAATTCTAGAGTACCTGGTGCAGCAGTTGACTGATTCTCAGGAAGGAGAAAATCTAAGGGTAGTCTAGGCTGGAAAGTCAATAGCAAACTGTTCGGGCTCACCCCGGTGGCGCTGTGTACCGCGTTGTTGTACAGACTGGCGATGAGAGCAAGCTTCTCATCTCAGTCTACCTGGTTAGGCTTGATGTAATGCCTTAACAGATGCTGTACAGCGCGGTTCAGTTGCTCGGCTTGGTCGTTGGCTTCTGGGTGATTTGCAAAAGTCATTTGCAACGGGGTTCCCTGTTCTGCAGCAGCGGCCTTCCACTGTTTGCTGGTAAATCGGACATCCCTGTCAGTGATAATGGATTTCGGTAAGCCAAAATCCCTGACCCAGTTCTCTTTAAACGTTCTAATCACGTACTCCGTCTTTGCTGTTTCCGGCATTGCTACTAACCTAGCATACTTAATCTATCCACGATGACGAAGATATGTCGCATCCCACTCTTGCTGGTGACCAGAGTATCCATGAAGTCCATGGACAGACTCTTTGCAGGCCGTTCCGGAACTGGAAGGGGCTTCATGAGCCCAAGAGGACCCTGAGTACGTGGTTTGTCTCTTTGACATACCTAACAAGTTTCCACGTACAGCTGGGCGTCTCGCATCATCGTGGGCCACCAGAACCGCTGCAGCAGATTGGCTGTGGTCTTCTTATACCCAAAATGGCCGGTGGCGTCATGACACTCACCTAAAAACAAATTACGCAAAGACTCGCTATTCGGGACACACAAACGCTTATTTCCTGCCTTCTCAAGGAACAGAAAGCCGTTAACCACTCAAACTCGGCTGAAGTCTTTTTGTCCTTCGCCTCTAGTCTGCGTATGATTTCTGACATAAACTGATCCTCGCGATAGGCTTCCACCATAGACTGAGTAACATTGTCCGCAAGCCCAAACTCAGTGATCAGCGCAGCAGAGAAGTCTGGTCTACGCGACAGGGCATCAACAACCTTGTTGTACTCGCCCTTGATGTACTGGGGCTCGAAGTCGTACTGCTCAATGACTTCGATCCAACGCTTTAGAGCATCAGAGAGTACCGGCTGAGTTCTCATCCATCTCAGGGTCTGATGATCAGTCCTGAGGATGAAGAACCTCCCAAGGAGGTATTGCCTCCAATGGGTCAGAGCCTCGTAAACTGCATAGAGTTCCTTCTCATAGGTGGACTTGGCCAACTTCTGAGAGGGCATATTTTTGGACATGTACTTTACTAGCCTCAACTTTTTCCCCTCCTGTTGTCCAAGTACGGCGCCTATGCCATATTGGCTAGCATTCGTAGTCACTATAAATGGCTTATCAGGATCAGGAAGTTTTAAGACTTCGTAATGCGTCAACGCATGCTTCAGATGTCTGAAAGCGGCCTCACATTTCTCAGTCCACTCCCATGGGGTGTCAAGGCGGGTCAGATCAGTCAAAGGGGTGGCAACTATGCTATAGTTTTCCACGAAGTTGCGATAGTAGCCGGGCATCCCTAAGAAAGATCTCATCTCAGTCACAGACTGAGGACGCGGCCAGTCACGAATGCTGGCCACCTTCGCGTCAACCCTTCCGCGGAAATCTCATGACCCAAGTACAAGACACGGGTGCGGCCAAACTCGCACTTCGCACCATTGATCTTGAACTTGTGCTGTCGCAGGAGGCTGATGACTTTGTCCAAGTGTGCAACGTGCTCCTCTACAGTCGTATTAAAAATAAGTATGTCATCGAGGTACACGATGACAAACTTATCCAAGTAGTCATGGAATATCCGATTCATAGCGTGCTGAAAGGTGCCAGGAGCATTGCAAAGGCCGAAAGGCATCACCACAAACCCGTACAGACCGTACCTGGTCTGAAATGCGGTTTTATGTTGATCCTCGGGCCGGATTGCAATCTGATGGTACCCGGACTTCGGATCTATCTTACTGAAGTACCGACACCCTTGCACTCTATCAAGCAAATCGTCGATGCGAGGTAGGGGCTCTCGGTTCTTTACAGTGATGGCATTGAGGCCCCTATAGTCAATGCACATCCTAAGTGTACCCGTCCTTCTTCTTAGGTACGAATAGTACTGGAGATCCATAAGGAGAGACACTCGGCCGGATCCAACCCTTCTCTACGAGTTCCTTGAGTTGTCGGCGAAGGTCATCGAGCTCGCCTGGAGACATCCGATAGATTCTACCCTTTCGGATGCTAGACCCTGGGATAATCTCTATCGCGTGGACAACCTCCCGCTCTACAACCCCTGTCGGCTCTTCAAATAGATCAGGGTACTTGGCAACTACTCCCTCTATCTCCGGCGGCATTTTCACCGGCTCGCCTGCAGCAGAGACATAAACTAAGTACATACCCTCCTCCTGATTTTGCTTATAATAGTTATAGAACGCGGCTGCACACATGCATCCATGGGACTCGATGAGACTACTAGCTTTGAACTTGTGCAATCTGGCGGTCCCTCCACCTAGCAAAGTGTGTTTGACCACTTTTCGGTCCCAACCAAACTGGGGCTGAGCCACAGAGAGGTAGTACATACCTAACAACATGTCCATGGGGAGTTCATCACTCACCAGGAATGAGACGTGATGTCTCAATTCCCCTCCTGCGTACGGGAAACAACACTCCACATCTTGGAGGTAGTCATTGACTACCATGCACTGTTTGTTGGCACATGTCGACTCCACAGGTCGACTCAGGCGCTGCACTCGCCCCTGTAAGTGCAGTCTCTCAACGCACACGCGACTAATAGAGTTTCTAGTCGAGCAAGTGTCATAATAGGCCCCGGCCTTGCGGCCGCCAATGACAACCTCTCTGACGAACATCTCACCCTTCGGGGCTTTGACTAGGGCCGTCCAAGAAGCTAGCGGGTCTGATCTAGACCACTCCTCCTCTAGCTCATTCAAACACGTTCATCGAACAGAGGCTCGATGGGTCTGATCGTGTTTGCCGGACGACGCTGGAGTCAGTAGCTTGGGCCATCTCTCGAGATGGTGAGGGTGTCTCCACCACCTCGACCCTAGTAGGAACAACTACTATTCCTACTGGCCCGACGTGTTTCCCGGAGCAGTGCCTGAAGTGCTGGCTACATTGCTACCAACAGGATGGGAGGATCCTACCGCCTGCCCCATCGTAGGCGGGATCTTGTCGGTCACCTTCTTGTTACGACACTTGAACTGATTATGGCCGTATTGACCACAACGAATACAAGCCTGCCGTGTGTACCGATCTCTCCACACGTCCTTAGTGAGACCCGCCTTCTCCCATGGGGGAGCGTTGGGGTCAACTTGACTCCTAGACCGGGAGCCTCCACGACGTCTACCGGTCGCCTTACCTTTCTGAGCTACAGCAGCGACAACTCCACCCCCTGAAGCTTCAACGCTGCCTGCCTCTGAACCTACTCCCTCCTGGAAGTTGTCGTCCAACTCGATGGTTGAACCATCGTTGTCGACGAACATTAAGCGACCCTTCGCCTTCCAGTTGGGAGGCAGTGTCTTTTATTCCTACCATCCGTAGTGGGTGCCTGTCCATGCCCTATCTTCGCCTCAAGGTCTAGGGCCTTCTTGCTAAACGAAGGAAAGTTGTGCATATTGATGTTGACCTCACCTGCCAACTGGTTCCTGAGAGGCAAAGAGAAGCATCTCAGGTAGGAGGTGAGTAGAACCTGGGGGTCATAGCGCACCCCTGGGACACAAATCAGACGCTCAACAACGTCGGTGGCTTCCCTTACTGACTTGAGCTGCCGCGTGTGCAGTGTCAGGATCGCATCAGTGGCCCTTTGGGCCTCCTGAGGATCATGCCACCTATCCTCCACCAGCTTAAGGAAGTCATCCAATTTCTGGGTGACTGCCCAAGCGCGGAAGTCATGACCATACCCCTGGAGTTGCACTAAACCACTCAACCATCTTGCTGCACTACCCTCTAGGTAGGAGGCAGCCACAAGCACTTCTTCGTGCGGCAAGGTAAGTTTACACCTAACATAGACTGACACTGCCCTCAACCATGTGTCGAGGTCTTCGCCTCTCTTGTCCCTGTGAAAGGTTTAGGAGCGGTGATGGCCGTCTTTGGCACCCACTATGTTTGTCCCGGTCCCTGTACCACTCCAGGCTGTGGACCCTGTGGCACAGGCGGCTGCACTGGCTGCAAGGATTGTGTACCCTGCGGCTGTGTAGGCTGCGAGACAGCAGGCTGCGTGGTGACTGCAACCTGCAACGGAGATTGGGTGAACACTGTCTGTATTGGAACCTGCAAACTAGATCCTGCCGTGATCCCTCCTGATAGCGGCATGCCCAGGGAAACGATCGCAACCGATGATGGGGCTACATATAGGGATACCCCAGTCACTGGTGGGACAAAAGGAGGAGGATGTGCAACAGGCCAGGCACTAGGCCCGGACATTGGCGACGTAGCCTGCGCTTGCCCAACCAACAGGGCCAGACTTTGCTGGATGTCCTGAAGGATGACTGTCTGATGGTCCTGCATCTTTACTACATTCAGCAGGACGGAACGAACGATCCTCACTTCATCAGTCACGTGCGTCCGGTCCATCTCCTCTAACTCACTAACGTCCGCTTGTCTCCGTTGCATCCTGGCTCTTCTTCTAATCATTCTTTCTTTCTCCGCTTTTATATCTCCTAACGCCTTCTGTAGCTGTGCCTCCTGCAATGCTGCTTGTTGTATGGCGACCTCGTCGGAGGTCAACACTATTGCTTGGCTCGCCATTACACCAGTGGACTGACTCTGGGTCTGCGCAACCGTTGACCCAACAGACCCTGAACTATCGGCCTGAGTAGACTGGTGTGCTGAGGTGGCCATGGCTTCTGAACCTGCGGCTTCACTCACAAAGTGCCCTGCTAGCCTCTGCCGCTCTAGCCCTCCTCTGCTGCTGCAGCCTTTCTCTACGCTGGCGGAACATGATTCTGTCACCCTCTGGTCCTAATGCCAAATGGGCTCCTGGGCGCCTTGCCGATCGCAAGATCCGGTCGTCCTCTCTAGTGTCCTCCTCGTCGCTCATAAGCTACAGAACTTATGCACAATCTGCACTAATGCACACTGGGTGCCTACCTCAGCGTAGTGCACAGACCAATTAACTGGTGGCTATTTCATAGATTTTACATTCGGGTCAACAGGTAAGTCAGATTCCTACAAACGAAACTATTTTTAGCCTGATTAGTCCGCAAATAGAAGCACCATGAACAAGAAGCAGTTCTAAATAATGTTACCTATCAGATGTCAATGGCTGTACACCTAACTAATCAAAACATAAAAATAGAATCATTTGTGTGGATAGGACAGCATGGAATTTTCTTGAACTTATCACCTGAAATCTACCCCTCCCTTAGTTCCCCTGAGTATCACTTGATGTCAGCGTCCCTGAGCAATCTGGAGAGCGTCGCGTGTCTAAAGGTGTGTGTTCGGCCCACCCCTGTGCCCCGAGTAACTGCTGAGCTGGCCAGCCCTGCACTGGATTATACTCGCGTGCAGCGAGCCTTACAACCATTGGCTGGTCCAGAGGCAACCCAACGTCCGGCCCCAAGTGACTCCAGGAATTATTTTACGTCGCAGCTGGACGACGATCACAGCCAATGGTTCCCCTTCCGGTGCTTATTTAAAGACGCCCGGTCTCGTCTCCCTTAAGGGCTGGCCTGCCCTTCAGTACCCATCTAACAGCGCAGCAAGCCAAACAAAGGACAAGCAGCAAAGCATGCGTGCTCTACTCCCGGTGGGTTGGCATGGTGACCGTGACCCAGTGCTTCGTCCAGCGCCCTTCAGAAAGCTCCGCCCATCTTTCTCAGATGCTCCACGTGAACATTGCCGACTCTCAAGGTTGAGCGCACTCGACACCTCACAATGAGAGGACTCTCAAGAAGGAACACACAACCTCACGGTAAGAAGTGTCGAAGAGGGTAGATAAGGTTAAGAGCAACGTACCTCAAATAGCTGCCCCCAACCACAGAGATAATCTCACCAGATGACCTTATGGCGATAGCGATGACCAGTCACTGCATCGGCACAACCAGCATTATCTCGCCGTTCCACCTCAGCATCAATCGCACATTAGATAGTTCTCATCACACTGTCCAGACCACATTACCCCCACGTAGCCTTCCTGGCGATCCCCTCACCTCCTGGGTCGCCACTACACTCGTCTCCACCCTCCTCACTGCACACCACTTACGGCCAAACTCGCCAAGCAGACCGCATGTATGTACCGCATAAGGCAGAAGACAAGCGCCAGATGAACGCAATCGTACCACAGCTCCGATACCAAATTGCAAGGAAGATGAGCAATAGCGAACTTCAGCAATCAAACAGCATCATACATATGAGTCCAGATAGTCGTGATCTCGAACCAACAGCAGAATTGCATCACGAGANGATGAGCAATAGCGAACTTCAGCAATCAAACAGCATCATACATATGAGTCCAGATAGTCGTGATCTCGAACCAACAGCAGAATTGCATCACGAGATTCACCAAGTAAGAACACACCAAGAGCTCATAATTGACAATGCTGAAATAGTCCCATCATCATCAACGAAGAACCAGAGTTGATATCCTA